ACTCCATCCGCAGAAAGTGATGCTTTGCATTTGGTGGGATATCAAAGGAGTAATTTATTTGGAACTCCTTAATCCACAGCAAATTATCAATGCAGATCTATAGTCAGCAACTGGGATGTTTAAATCAAGTCATTCATCAGAAACGCCCTTCACTCGTCAGTAGGAAAGGTGTTCTTCTTCTCCACGACAATGTACGTCCACATGTGGCACGTTTGACGCAATACAAGATTATGGAGTTGTGTTGGGAAGTTCTCCCCATCCACCATATTCTCCAGATAGGACACCATCAGATTACCATCTTTTTCGTTCGTTGCAACACCATCTTAATGGGAAAACGTATGCAAATGTGGAAAGTGTTAAAGAATACATCGATATGTTTTTTGCATCAAAACCAAGTGATTTCTTTAATCAGGGCATTAACAACCTTATCGTTAGATGAAAAGGCATCAGCGATAAGAATGGAGACTATTTCATTTAATAAATGATTTGTTTTGATATATATAAGTTGTTCGGGTTTTTTCATCAAAAAAAAAAAGCGACATTATTTTCTTGACGGCCTAATAATAAACAAATTAGTATTTTCGTGGGAAAATGTCCCAGAACTTTGTTTAATGTCAACTCTCCCCTACATAATGATTCTAAAATCACATTTAACTGTCGTGATGCTCGTATTTGGCGTACATTCAAAATTTTCTTTATTTGATTACCATTCAAAGAATCATTAAGTTTTGTTAAGATCCTATCTTGTTTCTGAGTATAGTGAGCTTTTATATGACTACCAGAAACAGTTGTAACATTTACATATATGTTTAAATATATCTTCAGGACTTGACATTAGGCTTCGTTCATGGGTATTTTACATAAATAGAAATACAGGCTCCTAAAGCAAAACTGAAACACAGACAGATATGGCCCTTTTCACCAACCAGTTGACCCAAAACATAGCATTAAACAAATTATCTACCGATATAATAACAATTTAGATAAAGAAACCCCAAAAAGGATATGTAAAATGCATATTACATTCAACTTTTGAGAACAATAAACAATGCAACCAAAGAATGCTTAAAATACAAATTACACACGCGCGCGTTCATGTTGTTTTTTTAAGGATTAAATTTTGATTATTATAGGGTACGAAAAATTATGTATAAAATTAGATTCATGAAAAAAAGTAAAAAAAAGACATATTTTGGCTCTAGATAAACTTGTTGAGCTACTGTTTCTTAATTAGTATCCTCCTTTGAAACCTTAGTGTGATGATGATATACGTAAGTTTCTTTGTAAGTTTAAACACAGAAATTAACGGAAAGACAAAAATTCATGCAGGAAAAAATCATTTGGAACCTTTCAGTTAGAATTTTGAAACATTATTCTATCTTAATTTTAAATGCATCACAGATTTAACGCCTTTGTTTTTTCTTGCACTTTGTCGTCAGTTTGAGTATCGAGATATATTGCGTATCTTCATATATGATATCGAAACGTACACTTTATAGCTACACTATTTATAACTCTAACTGGTCACGACATAAATTATCTACTTACAAAAGTTCAACTTATCAGATAACACAAGAAAATGTTTATACCTGTGTAACAAGAAAACACCATGGTATCTAGGACAAAGTGCAATACACTGTTAAGAAAAGTAAAGAGTTAAGATATATTTTGTTACACGTGTGTTATACAAACGTTTACGCAAAAAAGCCAGTTATAAAAAGAAAGATCCTTAAGGACCTGTTACACTGAGAGTATGTGAAAATATATTAAAAACGTTTAAATGAAACAGCTGTGATACAATGAAAATATATTTTGGGTTGATTAACATATCTAGTTGATAATATCCTTAAAATTTAATTAAGCATGATCATGCAACTTCATGTAAAAACGGCAACATTTCAAGAATATACTACAGTTTCAAAATTTACGTTATAGAAAAGCAGTATTCAGTTACTGCCGATGTGAGAGTAAATAGTTATTTAATATCAAATCATTATGTTATGCTCCTTTCAAGCATTTGACTTTTGATAGAATTTTGTGTATTGATAATGACATTTATAACAAACAGAATTGTTACTTATAATGCTTTTTTTTTTGTTTCGCAGGGCTATAACAAATGTCTGTTCTAATTTATGCAGGATCTGCAACTGAATGACGTCGTTCGATGAATACTGGTCAGCTCACAAGATCAAAAAGAAAATAATAGTGACTACTTTCAATTAGAAATATAGAGAACTTAAAACTTGTGTATTTTTCAGAACATTACAAATAATTTAATAGTAAATATTTCTTCACAAGAACAAAATCACGAAGAAATTTTCGAAAATGATAATTAACAGTGGAATTTCAAGTTTATGTAATAAAGCAATGCACCCATTTTATTTGTTCAATATTGAACTTTACGACTAATACAATTTTTATCGTATTGTTAATACTATCAGTGAAATTAGTCTGAAGCCAAAGTTGAATAACACTTAAGAAACATTTATTTTATAGCTTCATTAGGCATTCATTAAGAAGCGAATAAAAATTTAAAATTCTTCTACACAACAAACAGTGGCAGAAAATTGTACTTGTCAAACATTTTTTCCATTTTTACACTTAATGAACAGTAGAATACCACAAAGGAAAATAAAAAGTGACACTTACTTTGATAAGTAATTCGTACCGTGGAATACGCTGAACAGGCATTATCAATAGAGCGTCTAGAGTAAGTTTCCCTTTGTGTTCCCTTGCCATGTGCTACACAAAATTTTGTCAAATGAATCGCGTCAGGTTTATGACAAAAACAACTACATATTATTATCTACTAAGCAGAAATAACCTAAAATTTAACAGTTTTTTATCTTTAGTTATAAAAAATGTTCAGATTCTATATACCATTTTAGTAAAGTTATTAACATGCCATAACCAAACAAAGCAACATAAGAATGATCTAAAAATGTTCAAAATTTAGTTGCTTCATACAATATGATAAGATACTGGAAAGCTATTGTTCTCTTGGGTGTGTCTTAAATTTGAGGGAGTGTCTGTATCTTTTGTAAGAGATAATTTTAAACAATATACATTCTGTAGAAGATTTTATAGGCAATAGTTTCGTATGACTAAATAGGTGTACATTTTTTTAAATTAGTATGAAGTCTCTCTATATTACTTTTGAGAACCAAAGTAAATTTGTCCGTGATTCTTGTTAAAATATCTTAACTAGATAGCATAACAGCTCAACATACCATAAGGTATGGGAACAAGTTTGTCGAGCATTGTCAAACCATTTTTTTTATGTTTTCTGAACATAAAGTTAATTCATACTTCAAAAATAAAACTTAAAACTTTACTATATTTCAAAGATAAGGAAGCATTTTACATAGGTATATAAGAAGTATATACATATATACACACACACATGTATAAGAGCTAGTAATCACGTAGGCAGAATATACTTCCACGTGCTGTTTGACCAAAGACTGACTATTTATAGCTATATTGATATACACATGTGTATTTTAATCAACAGTTTATATAAGAAATCATTGCTCAACTCTAGCATCGTTTTCATATGAATGAGTTGAAAGTATAAACTTATGTCATTCATCAGTGTATCATACGTCTCGTACTTAAGGGATGTACGTTAATATTTTTATTTACAATAATATTCAATTAAATGTTTCTTGCTGATGGATTTTGAAACAAATGTAGGCTTCTATTTTAGTTTCTACATTACTTTTCCGCATGTCTCCTTTCGAGCAATTTATTTTAATGTTCTGTAAACTTAGTTTAACTAGTTCGGTAAAATTCAGGTGTAGTGTTCCGGATCTATTTGTGTACAGCAGCTTTAGAAGTATCAGAACAATTATGTCACAATTAGGAATATATCGTATATATATGTTGGAGTGCAATATGGGAAAGGAGTGTCCTTCCAAGGTTTTCATCCGAAGTTTGTTATCGTTGCAGAGTCAATACCACTCATAGTTGCCATTTTGTAATTGAGTATTAGCACCACCTATTGTGAAAACCCACAACATGTGATGCGAAGAAAAGCCCATTTTTTTTCTTTACGTCCTTTATTGTAAAAACAGATAAGAACAACTTATTTCAATGATATTACGTACAAATTCTTATTATTCTCTGACTGTCCTAAATTCAATTATATAAGTGATATCTGAAGTAAAGAAATACCAAATGCATTAAAGTAAATGACAATAATGAGGACTTTTTAACGTGTTTTAATGTTACTCTGCTGTATTTATTGTTTAAATAATTAAAATACAGAAAGAAAATAATTCATGTTTGTGCCCAATACTAAGTTTTCAGCCACAACAGCTAAATCATTGTGATTGGTTGAGTCTGAAACTCTTTCTGAGAAAATTCAATTAAACTTTGCCCTGAACAACTTATTTATGTAACTTACTACTTAAGAATATGGTAAATATCAATTACTTTCCAGTGAATGATGTGTGCGAATTTTATAATGTCATTATCAAGTGAAATGTATATAAAAAAAACTGTGCTAATTATTAGTTCAACAGAAGAACGACTAGGCTCTGGTAGGTCAAGATTAATGCTTATATTTACGGTATTTTTATGTGCATAAGAACAGTTCTTAATTCCTCACTATTTTCGTTCCTTTTCAGGGCTTGAATTGTAAGGAAATACATTTAACAGTTAAGTATACTATAAGTTTTGCAATATTAAGGAAAAGTTCAATTTATTTCAGGCGTAGAAGGTCAATGGAAAGATTTGGTGTATGATTTTCAAATGAGTACTTTTCTAGATATTGTATGTTCGAACATACTGGAAAAATCAATAGCGCAGTTTGAAAATCAAGCGTTTGGTTTATAGTTTCGTACACGTTACCTAACTGTAGCTATATTTCCTTATTTGTGGTGTTAGCCTCTCCATTCTACTTGTTCAGACGTATAAGTGCTGAATTTTTCTTTTTTACAATTTACATTTTTTATTTTGATCGTGGAATAATAATGGGTGTACCTATCGTTTTACAAATACTGTAACTTTTCAAACATGCTTAGTGTCAAGAGAGAGAGAGGTTCCCGACGTTGTGATTCAAGTGGAAATAATTCCGTTTCTTTCTTCTCTGGGTATTATTTTCAGGTAGACAATATGTGTAATGTTCAGAAAACAAATATACTGAGGTTAATCATAGAAATAATTCCGTTTCTTTCTTCTCTGGGTATTATTTTCAGGTAGACAATATGTGTAATGTTCAGAAAAAAAATATACTGAGGTTAATCATAGAAATAATTCCGTTTCTTTCTTCTCTGGGTATTGTTTTCAGGTAGACAATATGTGTAATGTTCAGAAAACAAATATACTGAGGTTAATCATAGTTTATAAGAACGATGTTTCAAGTCATTGCTATCTATAAAGCTATTTCTACCATCGTCGATCCTGCTCAGTCTGATAGTCATGATTATGCACTATTACTTGACACTGCAGTTTGTTTTGTAAGCTTTTGCGAAGGTCGTCGAAATAAAAATTAGACTGCACATCTTAACAAACTTTCTATAGGCCATTCACTGTATACATATATCTTAGTTTTCAAGGCCACGTTTAAGAGACCAAATCCACGAAAATGCATAGGAACTGCATCGGGAGATTTGACGTGCTGTGATTCAGGTCTCATTAAACAGCCGTTGATTTCGAAGTGCGGCTCGAAACTTGTGAAAATTTGGCTGACTTCAAGTTTTTGTTAGTGATGCCAAAAGATATACCACGTTCAGTGCAAATGATTTTTTTTTTTTTTGTTAATCAGAGGGTTCTCTTTCGCAACCATTGCTACGGATTAGCTAAGGGTGTTTCGGATCCTGTTGCTGTTCTAAAAGCTTTGCAGTGAGAGTTTTTCGCTTTCGTTGAGGACTCCCTTTATATCGTTTAACAATATCGTTCTACCAATATTGTCTCTCGAAAAAGACTGTGGCATAATACTCTAGCCATAAATCCTACTCTGGTGCATTGCGCTGTTGAATGATCGGAAAATTGCCATGAATGAAATATATATAGGTGTCACATTTCGCAATTGTATTAACATGTGCTAACAGTTCATATATATAATACGAATACGTAATCATCTGTATTAAGGAAGTTCAAACGAGAATTTATCGCATTGCATTACTGCCACATTTTCCATATAAATGTCAGTTTTTACAACATATTTATAAAATAAAAATTTGTCTGGGAGGAAATATTTTATTATCTGAGATTTGTTTTTAGTTTTGTTTTCGCATTTTTTTTCTCATTTCATTTTCATATGTGCAAGAGTAAATCTATTTCCTTATCTTATTAACAGTTCACATAACAATTCACAATAAATACCTTCATTGTACAAACAAATACATACATCGTAGGTATTATGTTAAATAAACTTACCTGAAGAAATTTGGCGAAAGCAGGCTTTGCCTGTGATGCCAACTTAATTGCTTCTTTAGCTGACTTCCAGTTGTTGATAAAGGCGGTGTATGTATCAATGACATGTTGTTTAGTGAACTGCAATGCCAAATACGAGGTTTTCAAGTTAGACAAATAAATAGCAAAGCAAAATATGAATTTCAGTTCTGTTCTACGAACCTAATAAAGTGGTATAAAAATGATCTAGAAAAGGGTAGGCAAGTTAAGCCACAAGATCTAATACACAGATGTCAAAGATGCGATTAAAAACAAGAGTCGATTTATCTCTTGGGAACAATAAACATTCGTAGAGTAAATATTAACCACATCTTCACAGTGACAACAGATATCCCAACTGAAAGGCTTAAAAATAAATCAAGTATTTTGTTTCTAACGTATATCAAAGAAAGGCTTAAGAATAAATCAAGTATTTTGTTTCTAACGTATATCAAAGAAAGGCTTAAGAATAAATCAAGTATTTTGTTTCTAACGTATATCAAAGAAAGGCTTAAGAATAAATCAAGTATTTTGTTTCTAACGTATATCAAAGAAAGGCTTAAGAATAAATCAAGTATTTTGTTTCTAACGTATATCAAAGTAAACCTAGCTCTGACACATTTATTGCTGCGAACAGTGAAAGTTAATATTCTACGAAGAAACTCCTCAGTAAAAGTGTAATACACAGAAATATTTTATTAATGGTGACGAGAA